ACAATTAACTGTTTATATTAAAATTGTGAATAAAATTATTGCAGAGAGAGTGTCCTGTGCTGCTTGCCACCACTGAAATGCACAGATGCTGATTTACGTCAATATTACTCTGCTTAGTTCTCATTCATATTTTTTCAGTGGCTGAGCTGGAAGGCAGAGCTTTTGATTTACTGGTCGATCTACCTTCCTGCCCTCACCTACGGTCATGAGCTCTGGATAGTGACCGAAAGAATAAGACCTCAGATACAAGCGGCTGGAATGAGCTTCCTCCGCAGGGTGGCTGGGCTCAGCCTTAGAGACAGGGTGAGGAACTCGGACTTTCGGGAGGGACTCAAAGGAGAGCCGCTGCTCCTCCGCATCGAAAGGAGCCAGCAACTGTATCAATATGTCAGCGTGCAGCTTTTTTCATGTGGGGGGAAATTCCACACAGGCAGAGGCAGTTCTAAGAATTTTTACCTGGGGTGGCAAATATATGTCTGGAAGTGACCTCAACACACCACGCAGAATTTTTTATATGCACTAATAACAGGCTAAAACATAAATAGCCGAAATGCGCACATAATTGTGGATGATCAGTCTCCCGTTTTGCGTCATCTCTATAGTCAAGTAGGGTTAGGATTAACAATGAAAATGAGTAAGACCTCTTTCTCAGTTCATTTACAAAATTTAAGGCTAAGTAGTCAAATTCTCTAAGCAAACCACCAAACCATACAATTAGTGCTGTATAAATGATGGAAGAATGCATCACTACATGTGAAAGGGGCTATAAAAATTAACTGAACTGAAAAACTGCCTTGTGCAAACCCTGGTGTATGTGTGTTCCGCTAATCTGTATTGCATAATAGACCATACATGTATAACGACAATTACTTCAGATGTTTTGGATAAAGAATAAAACCGGTTCTGACCATAGTTAAGGTGGTTAATATCATGGACTTAGTTCTACAGAACAAACTGCAAGATGTTAGTGAAGCTGGTCATGGGATACCAACATAACACCAAATTAAAGGCTTGTTTTTATCAGTGGGCTGGCAGAGTGTGCAGTGCTTAGCAAGGTCACCTCACACTGCTAAGACCAGGGCTGGAGTCTCTGCCTTGACTGCATGTGTGTGGAGGTTGTACAGTATGTTCTCCACCAGCTACTCCAATCATGCTGAGGTTAATTGCAGTTACTGGTGTGTGTTGCAGTGGGTTGGTGTCTTATCCTGGTTTGTTCCATGCCTTGTGCCTGTCGGCAAGTGGTTACAGAAAATGGATGGATGCTTTAATGCGCCCTGGCATCAAAACAGGCCGTGTGTCATACAAGGGGGGCACAGTTTTACTCACCCAGAGTAATACTAGTAATATTACTATGACAATGACAGACAGCCATTGGGAAGCAAATGGCAAAACCACATGCAGCACAACCACCATGAAGTCTATTTTTATGTTGTATGTTTTAGTTTGCACAAATATATATATATATATATATATCATAAGGCCTGTTTTATACTTAAGCAAGCTAAGAAACCAAACTTGACTTACCTGTCAGAATATACATGTACATATTACCACTTTTATTCTGATTTGCTCTCAATAGCCTACAATTGTACGCTAATCGGTCAGTAAATTAAACATTAAAGTTTATGTTAATTTTAGCAGTCAAGTACTTTGCCTGTTTACTGCTCAATATTAAACTACTTCTAATAACATGAGATGAATTAATCCCAGATCAGCTTTTTATTTACTTGTACAATGCATGCAATATTTACACGTCCATGTAGCCTATTTAATGTTGGAAATTTGTCTTCCCCTCTTAATATGTCTTTTTAAATATTCAAAGGTCTGTGATTATAAACTGCCTGGCTCGCTTGTTGAAAAATACTGTAGCCGAAAGACTCGATATCGAATATACGGCTAACTTTACTATAGTCACAGGATTCTCTGGGCCGATGTACCATTAAACCCGCGCATGCCCACGGAATGACACAGTCACACAGTGCTACGTAAATTGCATGCATTTCCCTCATTGGCCACTTGGGGGAACTTATCAGGGCGTAGCAAGTCGGAAAAATTAGTGGTTGTAGATATAGTATTCTTTAATCCCTCGGGACATTAAGGATATAAGGGTAATGTACATGAAACTAATTTCTGTGCTTTTGAAGAATTTCACTAAATTTCACCCTTTTTTTGCTCATCTTATATTTTAGCACTTTAAAAACGTTTTAAAAGCATATGCTTCCAGCTTTCAGAGTCACAGACAGTTCTCTCCATCAGGTGACACAAGTGTCCTTCGTCCTCCGCATGACACCACAGCATCATCTGTGCTGTTAATCTGTGGGTTTCCTATAAAAACCTTTTCAGTTCATCATAGAATACCACAGCCGTCCAACTGGGTGTAATTCAAAAGCGATGTGGTATTATAAGTATGTAATGTGTAAATAAGAGACTTATTTCTAACTAAACTTCAACACGATTTTCCATTGAAACGTATCAAAAGATAGAAACCCTTAAGGCATTATTCTCTGTGACCCAGGAAAACACGGAAACAAAGTTTCTTGCATTGTCTTGTGCTTCCATATTTAAGAAGTATTTTCTTTTAGTTTCCGTTTTTCATTGAGGATTTCAAGTGAACCGCATAACTTGTTTGTCATTTGTGAAGATATGGGAAACTCTGACCCCCGAAGAGGAACTCACTCTACCAGCAGCCGGAAGCTGGCTTTTTGTCTAGGCACCATCGTAACTGCGGGGTTTCCGTCTCTCACACATCTGGCGTGACACTCCTGCTTTCAGACTCTCACGCATGAAATCTTATCGCAAATCTGAATTATTCCAATATATCAAAGGAAAAGTTTTCTAAAAGTTTTGTTTAGAAATGCAGCGAAGTGAAAGTAATATAGCAACAATTTCAAAAATTCAAGTACAAATCCAGGAAAAAAAACCTATTCAAGTACAGTTACACAATATTTGTCATCCTTGTTTGAGTGGTCATCAGATCTCCTGGTTTCATCCCAGTTGTCCTCCTTTAGTGGGCTTTTACTGGGTTTTTCTGAGATCTCCACTATGTTTGAGGTTGGTCTCATGATTTCCACGGCTCCTGTCATGCATTCTTTATTCATTTGGATCAACTGACCTGGACTCTTGTGCACATGGCAAGATTCTCACTGGGACGAGCTCCTGGTGCATCACGCCAGTCATGGCTTAACTTCCTTTTTTCATGTGCCATTGTACTCTCATTACGTTTTATGTATATGCAAAAGAAGTTTATTTGTTGATCAGAAACCAAAAACTGAACTCAGGGCTTATCTTTGTCCATCCATCCATGTATCTTTTGTTTGCTTATCTGGTGAAGTGTGGCAACGAGCCTGAAGGCAATCGTAGGTAGCATCAGGCACGAGACAGAGGTACACCAGAGATGAGATGTCAGCCCATCACTGGGAACACAATCACATACTATTATTGTTATTTAATCGCTCTTTTTTCTTGTGACTATGCCACCCTGATTTTTTGAGATAAAGTTTATTTTGCTTTTGACAGTAATTTGGTGAAGTGGGGAAAAAAGGAAATGAAACACTGAAAAACAAGACAAATTGGATCATACACTCCCGCCTGCATACATGCATGTAGTCTGCACTTACAGGACCTGTGCATTGGCTCAACCAGCTAACCACAACCCAGTTCTGCTTAACCAATGCATGAAGACATTGAGCGGTCTGCAGGAAAATGACACAGACGTGAAGAACACAAGGAACTGTTACACAATCCTGGGGGGTTTGTGTTTGTGTAAAAACCTTTAACCACTGAACACTGTTCATAAGCTACTGTCTGAGGGTTATAAGCCTGGCATTTTTTTACACTGGAATATCGTGATGTATATATGTATACACACACACACACACACACACGTCAGGTAAATATATCTTTATGGGGATCGCTCATTCATTTCTATAGGAAAAATGCTAACGCTAACTATGACAACCTTAACCCCTACCCAGCCCTAACCATAACCATAAGTAACCAAACAAAATTTAGCATTTTTAGTTTTTTCATTGCAGTCACAGATCTTTATTAAATTGAGTTTTCCCCACCATAAGGTAAAGTATACCTGCTCACACACACACACACACACACACACACACACATATATACAGCTCTGGAAAAAATTAAGAGACCGCTCCATATTATTTAAGAATCTAGATTGTTAAATCCTAGTAATCCTGGTTCTGTTGGCAGAAGGCTACACAGAGTGGCAGGTTCTACCCCGGGGGCAGCTTGCGGTTCAGTGGGCTGAGCTTTTCTGCTCACGATCAGAAAGTTACCGGTTTGAGAAATCAGAAAGTTACCTTGGCAACATCCGTGGGCCCTTGAGCGAGGCCCTTAACCCCCAGCTCCCTGGGTGCTGCTGTGGGTGGCTGCCCTTCATGGTCAGTTTGCTCTCACCTACAGAGAGCAAGTTGGGGGGAGACATAAAGAGAATTTCCCCCATGAACATCAATAATAAAGTATCATATTAGGTTGCTTCCAGGCTCAGAATCTCTAAGACCGTAACCCACAAGAACAATGTGAAGCACGAGACACTGGGAATGATCAAAAACCAGCCAGGTAGAGGGTAGAAACAACTTTCTAATGATGCCAGAGATGACCGATAACTTATTCAACAGTTTATCATGAATGAGAATCAAGTGGCATCAAGTGGCCTACGAAAGGAATGGGAAACATTAAGTCTTACGCAGAAGCAAACCCATAACTGAGAAATGAGTGTTGCTGTTGTATCTTAATTTACTTCAGATGTATATATATATGTGTGTGTGTGTGTGTGTGTGTGTGTGTGTATATATATATATATATATATATATATATATATATAAAACGTGTATGTGTGTGTGTGTAAATTATATTTATATAATTATGTATGATGTATAATGTTCTGCTTTACAGTATTTCTGTCTGTGTGACCTGCTGGCTTGAATAGAGGAAGCTGCGTTAAGATCCTGTACAAAACTTGTGGGTAGCTGGTTTTGCACTCGGCTCCAGTGCTCATTTAAGGAGCTCCACACCAGCACTCTTAGGCAGTTTAACCGTTGCAGGAAGGCACATACAGGACCTGCATTATAAGTGATTCCATTCAAGAGCTTTTGGTAAGTTTATTTTTGTTTGTTCGCTTGTAACATCTTCTCTGTTTGCCAAAGATGAAATACCAGGAAACTGTATGCATGTTATGAATTTCCTACACTTGCTGTTATTTTGGCTGGTGAGATTCTTAGTCATGTCAAGTTTTTAGCATATTGCTATGGATGCCAGCTAACTTACGTAATACAAAGCGGGACACCAGGCATTCTTCATTTCCTGGCCCTGGCACTAGGTGGCACTGTGCTTGTCGTTCTTACACTCGATCTAGGATCAAATGGCTTATCACAAAGTGACACCCTAAACGTTGCATTTCTTAATGGTAAGAAGTCACAGGTCTGTACAGAAAGCTGCTACCGGTGTGTTTATGCAGTTTCCCATTGGCTGCTGCTTTTACTTCTCACGCCGTCGTATGTCTGTCGCCACCCCACTCCCTGTTTCCTTTCCAACTCTCAAAGCCGTGGAGGATGTCCTGTGCCCCCTCTGTCGTTGTCGGCGGGCATCTCCTCCTGTCCCTCCCCCTCTGCTTCCTCCCTGCCCCTGATTCCTGGGTGCTGCATGCTTTCATGGCGGACTCCATGAACAGCTCCTGAACTCCTTTCCCCAAGCTGTGGATGAAACGGTGGTCCTTCAGAAGGGGTTTTTCTTCCCCCTTCCTTCGAATCCACCTGTTCTTCCTGTGAAGCCTTTCTGCTTGGCTTTTGGCAATAATAATACTTGGAATTCGAATACTTTTTAATCCAGCTACGTAACATTGTAACTAGCATAACTAACATTTTTGTCTTAGAGGGGAAGTGAGTCATTGTGTTTAAAACATGACATCATATATGGAACTGCAGCATATTTATTAAAATGGATGCACTGTCATTTATTTTTATTTAGTCCTGTAAAATATTATGTATAAGATGTAGCAGTGTTATAAATGTTATATAGCAAAGACTGATGAAAGAGGTAGTCAGAAGTAATTGGATTCATTTGCCTGATATTAGCAATGGCCTGGAATGGAATTCATCAAGACATTCCATTCAGCTGCATGTTAGTCCTTTCAACTTTTTGCATATCAGAGGCCAGTGGAGACCAATTCTAATTATGTGGAGTCAGTCAAATTTCACTGCACTGCATACAGCTGCAGGGAAGTGAAGCAGTGAAGCTGCTGCCACTGAGGCAAAGTGTTGTGAGTGTTGAAAGGAAGACAGTGATGCCCAACAGCAGCATGACGGCAGACATGAGCCGTTTCTCAAGAACAGGGGTGCGGCGCCTGCTACTCGTCACCCTCCTTATTCTCACTTCTTTGAATTATTGCTCAGATCTAGAGACGGCATTTGTGCTGCACACACTGGAAGATTCAATCCAATGTACTTTTATATAGCGCCTTTCACAACAGTGTTGCCCTAAGGCATTTAACATGTATGTGCTGTGATGCAGTGCAACATCATTAAGAGAGAACGATATGAAACAGGAAAGAAAGAAAGAAGGAAGGAAAGAAAGAAAGAAAGAATTTAAAGAAAGAAAGAAAGAAAGAAAGAAAGAAAAGCAAGCAGGTGACAACAGAGGAGAGGAACCAAAAACTTCCAAATATGGAGAAAAAAACCTGCTGGCTTGCTTGCTAAAAGCCAGGAGTAGACCGTGATCCGAGGTCCATCAATGAGTCAGTTCTCCACATCAGCCTGTGTAGGATGGCAGGTTGAAGGCTGCATCCACAGCGCTACAGTTCATAAGTCACATCCACGCTGTCACCCTTCCATGGGCCTGAACCTGGACTCCAGCTCAGATGACGTCACCCTTCAATGGGACTGAACCTGGACTCCAGCTCAGATGACGTCACCCTTCAATGGGACTGAACCTGGACTCCAGCTCAGATGAAGTCACCCTTCCATGGGCCTGAACCTGGACTCCAGCTCAGATGATGTCACCCTTCCATGGGCCTGAACCTGGACTCCAGCTCAGATGATGTCACCCTTCCATGGGCCTGAACCTGGACTCCAGCTCAGATGACGTCACCCTTCAATGGGCCTGAACCTGGACTCCAGCTCAGATGATGTCACCCTTCCATGGGCCTGAACCTGGACTCCAGCTCAGATGATGACCACCCCTGGCACCATCCGGACATGTGTGAAGGAAGGCAGAGAGCAGGGTGGTCAGAACATGCGTTGACACATTAACAGACAAGCACAGTATAGATCAAAGTGGTTTGTACAGCAGCACCAGCTACCATACTTACCATACTTATGGTGTTATGTGTCAAGCTGTGGGTAAGCTATACTGAAGTAATAGGTCAGATACTGTTTCCCTGGGAACTAACGATCAGGGGCACGTATTTTAGATAAACATTTGGCACAAGAATATTTAATTGGCTGTAGGCTGCCCTCGTAGGTCCCCGGTGGATAAAATCCGTCTCATTTTCACTGTTGGGGGATGACATGATGCACTGTCCTTTCTGCCATCTACTTAACGCGTCCAGAGAGCCTCGCAAACACAGTTAAATCTGCGGAGATGCAGTGGCAGTGCGTTTGGGTCAGCCGTATAACGATATTGTTATAACATCTGAAGCATAATGATTGTACATGAAGCGAAAACATTACTGTCTGCAAACAAGGACTGAGTGTTCGGAGAGCATCTCCCACTGAGGTTGTGTGCTGGTTGCGTTTCAGACTGGTCCAAAAGAGGAAAGTATTGGTGCCAATTTAAACCTGCAGGCAAATCTGCGATCTGGTTTTCATCGTTCCTTAGGTTTGCGTCGTCAAAGAAACGCCTCTTCAAGATACAGATCTTTCTTTCGTTTTTTTTTTTAACTTAAATCTCTTTTCCGCAGCCAGTGCCAACATAGCTATTCAACACGAGACATATTGACCAGACATATTGTACTATATGAGCCGAATGGAACGAAAATTAATGATATGGGATGAACTGCAAATACCATAAATGTTTTAGCAGTAGTATTTGATGAGGTTTGGGGGTTTGCACACAAAGCCACAACAAGGATCGTGTGCTCTGCTAATGTCAAGGCTGCCCAGCCCTGTTCCTGGAGATCGATCACCCTGCAGAGATATAGCCCTAATTTAACACACCTGATACACATAATCGTGCTGCCATGGGCCATGTTGCATGTAGCCAGCAGTGCAGAGCTGGCGTGGCTCACTGATCGCCATGGTAGTTAGCCAGCCATCCTAGCTGGTGGGTAGAAAGTGTTATCTTTAGTGTGAATGATTATTCCTAGCAGTGCCTTTCCCTTAATCCTTGGACAAAACCCATGTCGTGACTTAAGGTGGGTGATTTCCAGGTTCACTGGGCAGAGGTAATATCCCACGTGCTGCTGTTTTAAAGCCATACTATGGATTGATGTATATAGTGAAGAGACAGGCAGTTGAGGGTCTTAGGAGTTTGTCACGTCCTCTTACTGTGAGTGAAGAGATGATAGTGCCTCAACAAAATAAAGAGCAGACCCAACACAACTCATGGGATTACTCTGCCCCATTGAAACTGACAGGGAAGTACATGCTGTGGGAAGATCACAGAGTTGGTTCCTCCTTTCTGCTGGGGAGTCTGAGGTTTCTGTGTGGAGGCCATGTGCCGCAGCATGGGACCTGGTGCCTGGTGAGGAGTAGGTGACGAGGTGAGTGGCACCCGGGTCCCCTCAGGCCAGTGGTTCGGAGTGGCCTTGGAGGTGACAAAATTTCAACCATAACACCAGCTGCTTCTCGTAACCATGGACTCGTGACAGTGATGATGTTTCCTGACGTCCATGTGAGAACGGCATGTTAGGTAACACTGGATTGTAACTTCCAGGACAGCTTCTGCGGGCAGGACGAGTACGAGGACCGCAAATCTGACGGAGACGGCACTGCAGAGGACGTCTCTGGGCTTGGCTGGTCCCCGCGGGACACACATTTCTTCTCGCAGCCAGAAGCGGCGGACTCTGCCTGCACTTCCCTTGGCTCCTACTTCTCTATCCGCAGTTCTCCTATCAGCACAGACAGTCACAGCCCAGGGATGTATTTCTGCCACTTGGGCGGCGCTAACGTCCTTTCAGGCTCCTACCCCCCCGAGGAGACCCCCATTTCTCTGTCCCTCAGCAAGGCCACGGAGACTCAGTGCTGCCCAACAACAAGCATCACCCCCCCTGTCAACAGCGTGGCGACGCTGAAGGACCCACGGCAAGCTGAGAGCATGGAATCAGACAGTGAGATGTTCCCCATTTTGGTGAGGTCCATGGCAATGTCAGGGAGACACAGACGGGAGGTGCCCTCATCACCTACTGAATCAAGGAGGAGGTAGGTCATCATGCTGGGACTCTGATCCTCACATTTTAATGGGCATGTAGTGATGATTCCCACAGATGTGCTGATTGCACAGCTATATTGGTGTAATTAAATCAGCATAAAACAACTGAGAATGACATGTGAAATTAAACTATCATCTTTTGGTTCCGTTCTGTTTTGGTTCGGTGTGTGTGTGTGTGTATTAAAGGCTGAGCTTAGACACCCCAGCAATGGACAGTCATTGGGCCAGAGAAGATCTACAGCAGTCATCCCACCTTCATCACTCTGCTTACCCAGAATGCCCCAGTAAATCACAGGGGAAGCCCAATGAGAAAACTGAAAAAGACTCTAAAATTAACCAGAAGAAACTGGTAAACCTGCTTTTTGTTAGCTCACATTGCTACTGCAAGTTAGTCTTGTAGTTCTAACCAAATCTGTTGTCCTTTAATTGTGTTATACACAGTATCCTGGTGATCATAACTGTATGTTTGAAAAGCATGTTGGAGAAAAAAGTTAATACACATATGGAAGGCTGCACACCTGCTGTGGAGAAATGCGAAGTATAGCCACTCTGTTGATTGCGTCTTGGATTTGTTTGATTCAGGAGTTGGGGTCGAGCTCGTACTCAGGGTCTGAGGTCCTGGTGTCAGACTGTCCCGTGCTGGTGTTGCTGGAAACTTCCAGGAGTGTTGCCAGAACAGCAGGAGGTTGGTGCTAATGGAACAAGCTGTGTTTCTCCCCTCTGACTTTAAGCCCACTTCTACTTGCGGGACACTGCGAGTGCTGGGACAGTCAGCGAATGCCGTGGCTAGTATAGAGATGGGCGGGGCTGTCAGGAGGGATTGTAATATGGCCCGTGCTGCTCCTGTGTTGCAGAGGACCCAGATGAGACATTGTACACCAAGGAAGCACAGAGTCACATGTGAGTATGACATCCTCTGAGAGCAGCCCTCAGCAGGGTTCAGTAATCCGCCTCGGACGTCAGTAATCTGCCTCTGACATCAGTAATCTGCCTCTGACATCAGTAGTCTGCCTCTGACATCAGTAATCTGCCTCTGACATCAGTAGTCTGCCTCTGACGTCAGTAATCTGCCTCTGACATCAGTAGTCTGCCTCTGACGTCAGTAATCTGCCTC